ACAAGTACTCTTATATGGACCAAACCTGCAACCAATTGTTACCCAACGAGTACTTATGTAAAGAAGCCCATACTGCATATATTGATCATGAGCCTCCATGTGCAGTCCAATTGATTTTATACAAAGAAAATGCCACTACTACTTGCCACCCTTTCCGTATTAGACTACAAAATGTTCAAATCACTAAAATAACGGACGGAAAATGGATAATCACAACGCCCGAACAACTAATTGTCTCAGCATCTTGTCCAAATTCTAAGGACAACGTACCGCTTCATGGTTCCTACTTAGCCGAATCTACAAATGAATGCAGCTTACAAATAAAGTCAATTACTCTACGAACTTATAAGCCCAATCGTTTGACTTATGATGATGTATCCTTGCCTACACTGAATTTATCGATGAATTATTACCAAACAAAGGAGTTTGCTTTTAATCCACCTACACTTGACCTGAACTCCATCAACTTGAAGGAAACCAATGAAATTGCCACAACGCTTCAAGAACAGAAGAGACGACTACAAGAAATATCTAACCCAATGGAAATGCACCAAATAAATTTTTGGACAATTTTACTTTATTGTATTTTAGGAATACTATGCATTTTTACTGTCTATAAATTACTTTTGAAACATCGCCTTAAACGTGCCCAAAAAGCCTCGTTAGAAGACGATATTGTAATTTAACAATTTTACTTTTACTTATTTAGTTTAATCATATTTTTCTTTTAGCATTTTCTTTATTTTTTCCATTGTATAAAACCATACCTTTTTTGGTATGCTTTTAACTTAGGATGGAGGAGTTATATCCCGTGAGAACTCCAATTCAGCATTTATATTGTTCTATTCAGCTTATTTTTAATATTATAAAAGGAGTAATTTCTAGATTTAAGTCAGTTCTATTGTATTAGTCAAATAAAGTTTTTTAAAAACGCTCTCTCGTGTACACCCCTCGTAAGTATTATTATTACTGTTGTAGTCAATACAGTAAACACCATGATTTTGTGGTCTTTTCAAATATAAAAAAAGTTTTTACTGTTTTTGTGTTAATGAGTAGAAACAGCTTACATTTTTCTAAACACAATGACATCAACACAAAAAAAAAATTACTTTATCCTTATGCAGATGAAACTGTCTTGGTTTGCGATGGAGTGAGATACAAGATGACGCTCTGACTTGACATTATAAAAACCTATTACTATTACTATTAATATTAGATTTGTCAAAGAGACTCTCCCAGTCAACCGAGCAAAGATAATTATTTAATCCAACAAAGTCTGCATTTCTAAAATCTAAATATGTGGTTGTATAGTCCAACTGATGAACACTAGTAGAATAATTAATATCACAGGCAACTAACACGTGATGATAGTTATTAGGGAGCAGAGTGTCAACTGCTTGGTATACAGACAGCTTTTGGTTGTCACTAACACTACCAAAAATGAGATCCAAAAATACACCATGCTGATTCGGAATAGAATTTGATTGCATGAGGTCCAGATAGGAAAAGGATTCACCCAAAACTCTAGCTGGATAATTTTGGGGACACACCACTGAAAGACCATCATCCAAAGAATAAGCCCATGTAGCCAGTGGCAAATTATAATCACCAAATAAGTACAAAGGAATTTCTTGTCTAGTATTTTTAACATTTTCCACTGCTGAACAGTGGGAAATGTAGATGTCCTCTGCAGAGTTTGGTGGAATGTACACCCCACCCAGCATAAATGAACCAGCTTGAAAATCCACCTGGACGAAGAGATGCTCTATATTCAATGCCTCAGTCTTGACTAATTTAGCCTTAAAGTGATTCCGTATTAAAATTACAACTCCATCTCCCCGCAACTTTGCACTAGTTTGAGAGTCACGATCCCGCCGAAATACTTGGTAGTTTGAGTTTGAAAGTTCATTATTAGAATACTCGTCATTTAGCCAAGTTTCAGCAAGAATAATCACATTGTAATATTGCATAACGCAGCTGGTCAAGTCTTGTGCGTACACCACCCAAATTTTGGTAATAGATTGATACTGTACTTGTTGTTTTTAGTTTTTTGGTGGAGGCTTTTTGCTAATAGTGGGAATTCCATTAATAAATTTAATAATCAAATCTGACTCTCCTTTTTCTTCCCGAGAGCGTAGGTCTGCCAAGGTCGCTTTAAATTGATCTTGTTGGAGCTTAGTCTTATCGAAGCTTATTTTGATGTTGTTGTTTGTAATCCTCTTACGTCTGGCCACTGCATTCTTCACCACACGTGGATTTTTAGTTATTAATTTTAACGGCCTAGTTTTGCCCTCAGATACCTTACCCACTCTCAAAACTTTGACAATATCATCCTGAACCAAAGCCTACTTGATAAAACTTGAGTTTTCGTTACTTACCCCCTTGGAAAACTGGAAATTTTTAACGGAAAATGAAGGAAATTCAAAGCCTCGTATTTCAAACTAGCTTTCCCGACTTAAAACGGCCTGAAAAAGCGGAAAATTCGAAGAAAAACTGGATAAAAACACTCAAAACTGGCAAATGACATTTCATTACAAGGCCTACTTGATTAAAAGCGACGTTGCCACATCTCAAATAGGAAAAAATGGTTTTTTGTTTTAAATTTAATTAAACAATCAATTAATAATGTTTATAAAATGATAAGTTCCCAAAATAATGCAATGGAAACTTATTTTTAACAAAATTTAATGAAAATAAAAAATAACTTTCCAAAGTATGTTTGATAGTGAGTAAGACGAAGAGGGAGATGAAGTAGGACAAAATTTAAGTTTAAAAATGAAAGTTTTTGGTATAAAAAAATGAAGAAAACTTGAAGCCTCGCCTTTAAACCACCTTTTTCCGGTTAAAAATGCCCTGGAAAAGCGAAAAATCTAAAGAAAAACCAATATTCCAAAGCCTACTTGATAAAAATGAAGTTTTTCTCTCTTGTCCTATTGGAAAACTGGAAATTTTTGGCACAAAATGTAGGAAATTCAAAGCCTCGTATCTTAAATAAGTTTTTCCCGACTGAAAACAGTCTGGAAAAGCGAAAAAAACTGGATAAAATGTGAATACGTCCATTAAAAATGGCCGACTATCAACTGATATTTATTACAAGGCTTACTTGCTTGAAGTTGGCCACAAGCGGTGTTGCCACATCACAACTTCCAAAAAAAGGATTTGGATTATCATTTAATTAAAACCCTGTTGATTATTCATAATCAATTAATAATGATTTTAAAACAATAAATTGCCCCAAAAGCTTGTTTTCCAATACATTTTCGTCACTTACCCTTTGGCAAAAAATAAAGAAAACTCAAAGCCTCGTACTTTAAATCAGTTTTCCCGGCCTGAAAAAGCAGAAAATCCAAAGAAAAACCAACCAAAATAACATTCCAAAGTTTATTTGATAAAATTTGAGTTTTAGTTACTTACCCCCTTGGAAAACTGGAAAATTTTGACGAAAAATGAAATCTAGTATTTTAAACTAGTTTTCCCGACTAAAAATGGCCTGGAAAAGCGGAAAATTCGAGAAAAAACTGGATAAAATATGTAAACACATGATGGCCGACTGTCAAAGAAAAAATGGCAAATGACATTTCATTGCAAGGCCTACTTGATTAAAAGCAACATTGTTACATTTCAAATGGTTTTAAAATTTAGTTAAATAATTATTTAATAATAAAAGCAAGTAAGATGAAGACAGAGTCTCCATCTAGTGTCCAATTATATGTCTGATATTATTCTCTATATTATTTTACTGAAACATTTATTTCAGCTGTATTTATACATAATAAACTCGAAATCTGTCTTGGAATTCTTTCTGTTCCCAATTCGCCACTAAACCACCACCCCTTAAATTCGAGTTCTGTCTCAATATTGAAAAAGTCAAGGTTTTGTCAGCTTTTTCGAAATCTGCAATAAAAGACTCTGTTAAAAGTTATAAAAAGGTCACTGATTCTCTTACAAGGAAGTTTGAAAAACAATTGGGGGATTTTACTGCAATTTCTAAGAAGTGTTATCAGTGTGGCAAATTAGGACATATTAAGGCAAATGTCGTGTAAAAAAGCCCCATTTATCATCTAAAAATGTAACTTTTTAATCTAAAATGGATGGAGAAACGTCACCTCAACCTTCATTTACTGTTACTTCACAACAACATATGTTCATTCTGTGCAAAACGAGGTCAAAGCAGTAATAACTGTTCCACCAAAGCTGCTGTAGTGCCTACAGAAATTTTAATCAAGAATAACAAGGACTTACCAAACAACCATCCCAGGGGAAATCATCACTTAGTCAGCACAACCAGAAACTTCAATTAAAAATTATCTGAACATCGATATCCAGAAATTATTGAAAGCCGATACCCTATATTGACTAATATGTGAATAAACCAAAAGAAGTGCTTTCAACAATTAACATTCCAAAGGAGCCGAAAAATTTCTAAAAGGATCAATAAATCATGCACGAGCCTATATGATGATACCCATTTAACAAACCACTTAGCGACGCCCTTGATAATTAATTAAAAGGGGACCAAATACACTAATTGATCGGATGATTCAACCACGAAAAATCGAGGTCAGAAAAAATAAAGAAATTCAAGACAATGGAGGGACCAATGATATAGAAAGGCAACTTTGGCAGGAGAAAATCAGTGTTCGAGAAAAAACGAGTAAACAGGCAGAACTACGGCGTGAAAGAGTTGTCGAATTAACCGAGAGAAGAAGCACGACATGAAATAACAGCGCGAAAATATTCGAGTTTTTTATTAATTGTTCATAATTAAAGTAAATTCCTTTGACCAATAAGATTTCCACTCAGAAACTAAAGTCACCGCTCACCAATTCAATATCTTGCCAAGTTTCTGAATTTGGGGTCTCACATTAGTTAATAAACGTAATTATTCTTTGATCATTTCTTTAACAGTATTATAATATAAGAAAAGTTGTGGCGTTAAGTTAACAACGCAATTTTAACAGCAGTATTACCAAATCTTCCAGGAAGTACAAAAAAAAAAACAAGATTAAAATGTAATAAATGCTTTATTATTGGAGCTTATCAGTTTTGATTTTATTCTAACTCAATTTACTGTCAGCGAATTGTTTGGCCAACAACAAAATTTCGTCGACCGCCACACAGTTGGCGCCACTAGCCTGAGCGGAATCAGGTTTGCCGCCGCCTTTTCCGCCAATTTTTGAAGCCACGCTCTGAACCCATTCATTAGCCTTGAGCCCTTTTTCAATGGTTTCTTTAGGCACCGAAGACAAACAAAATAATTTATTAGAATCGGGGTCTACGGAAACAAAAAGAGCAGCAGTTGAAGGGCTAAGGCTTCGCACTTGTTTCAAGGCACCATCTAAAGCCTTAGTATTATTGAAGGCCTTCAATTCCTTGACCAAAACTGGCAAGTTTGGGTTTTGGTTAACAAATTCCTTGATTTCGTCGATTACTTTGTTGGCAATTGCAGCCTTAACTGCACGGTCTTTGTCGTCCAAAGCCTTTTTAAGCGATTTCAAGCTGTTTCTGATCTCTTCTTTTTTCCAGTAAGGAATCGTAGCCTGCGACACTTCATCTGTCAGCTCTACGATTCTCTTAACATTATCTTTTGAGTTTAAGCCATCTTTATCTGCTTCAATTGAGGATTTGATTTCATTTAACCTAAAAATTGGGATTTTTATTGTGGCACATTCAAATACCTCATGAATGTGACACTTGCAAAGCAAAATTTAAACGGAAAGGAAATTTAAAGCATCACATTTTAACACACTCGGATATTCATTCTTTTGCATGTGACATTTGCGAAGCAAAATTTATACGAAAAAGTCACAAATTTATACACTCGGATATTTATCCTTTCGAATGTAACACTTGCAAAGTAAAATTCAAACAAAAAAGCCATTTGAAGACTCACCTATCAACAGACTTAGTATTTATCCTTTTGAATGTGACACTTGCAAAGCAAAATTTAAACAAAAAGGAAATTTAAAGCATCACATTTTAACACACTCGGATATTCATTCTTTTGCATGTGACATTTGCAAAGCAAAATTTATACGAAAATCGGATTTGAAGAGTCACAAATTTATACACTCGGATATTTATTTTTTCAAATGTAACACTTGCAAAGTAAAATTTAAACAAAAAAGCCATTTGAAGACTCACCTATCAACAGACTTAGATATTTATCCTTTCGAATGTGACCCTTGCAAAGCAAAATTTAAACAAAAAGGAAATTTAAAGCATCACATTTTAACACACTTGGATATTCATTCTTTTGCATGTGACATTTGCAAAGCAAAATTTATACGAAAATCGGATTTGAAGAGTCACAAATTTATACACTCGGATATTTATCCTTTCAAATGTAACACTTTCAAAGTAAAATTTAAACAAAAAAGCCATTTGAAGACTCACCTATCAACAGACTTAGATATTTATCCTTTCGAATGTGACACTTGCAAAGCAAAATTTAAACAAAAAGGAAATTTAAAGCATCACATTTTAACACACTCGGATATTCATTCTTTTGCATGTGACATTTGCAAAGCAAAATTTATACGAAAATCGGATTTGAAGAGTCACAAATTTATACACTCGGATATTTATCCTTTCAAATGTAACACTTGCAAAGTAAAATTTAAACAAAAAAGCCATTTGAAGACTCACCTATCAACAGACTTAGTTATTTATCCTTTCGAATGTGACACTTGCAAAGCAAAATTTAAACAAAAAGGAAATTTAAAGCATCACATTTTAACACACTCGGATATTCATTCTTTTGCATGTGACATTTGCAAAGCAAAATTTATACGAAAATCGGATTTGAAGAGTCACAAATTTATACACTCGGATATTTATTTTTTCAAATGTAACACTTGCAAAGTAAAATTTAAACAAAAAAGCCATTTGAAGACTCACCTATCGACAGACTTAGATATTTATCCTTTCGAATGTGACACTTGCAAAGCAAAATTTAAACAAAAAGGAAATTTAAAGCATCACATTTTAACACACTCGAATATGCATTCTTTTGCATGTGACATTTGCAAAGCAAAATTTATACGAAAATCGGATTTGAAGAGTCACAAATTTATACACTCGGATATTTATTTTTTCAAATGTAACACTTGCAAAGTAAAATTTAAACAAAAAAGCCATTTGAAGACTCACCTATCAACAGACTTAGATATTTATCCTTTCGAATGTGACACTTGCAAAGCAAAATTTAAACAAAAAGGAAATTTAAAGCATCACATTTTAACACACTCGGATATTTATTTTTTCAAATGTAACACTTGCAAAGTAAAATTCAAACAAAAAAGCCATTTGAAGACTCACCTATCAACAGACTTAGATATTTATCCTTTCGAATGTGACACTTGCAAAGCAAAATTTAAACAAAAAGGAAACTTAAAGCATCACATTTTAACACACTCGGATATTCATTCTTTTGCATGTGACATTTGCAAAGCAAAATTTATACGAAAATCGGATTTGAAGAGTCACAAATTTATACACTCGGATATTTATTTTTTCAAATGTAACACTTGCAAAGTAAAATTTAAACAAAAAAGCCATTTGAAGACTCACCTATCGACAGACTTAGATATTTATCCTTTCGAATGTGACACTTGCAAAGCAAAATTTAAACAAAAAGGAAATTTAAAGCATCACATTTTAACACACTCGAATATGCATTCTTTTGCATGTGACATTTGCAAAGCAAAATTTATACGAAAATCGGATTTGAAGAGTCACAAATTTATACACTCGGATATTTATTTTTTCAAATGTAACACTTGCAAAGTAAAATTCAAACAAAAAAGCCATTTGAAGACTCACCTATCAACAGACTTAGATATTTATCCTTTCGAATGTGACACTTGCAAAGCAAAATTTAAACAAAAAGGAAACTTAAAGCATCACATTTTAACACACTCGGATATTCATTCTTTTGCATGTGACATTTGCAAAGCAAAATTTATACGAAAATCGGATTTGAAGAGTCACAAATTTATACACTCGGATATTTATCCTTTCAAACGTAACACTTGCAAAGTAAAATTTAAACAAAAAAGCCATTTGAAGACTCATCTATCAACAGACTTAGATATTTATCCTTTTGAATGTGACACTTGCAAAGCAAAATTTAAACAAAAAGGAAATTTAAAGCATCACATTTTAACACACTCGGATATTCATTCTTTTGCATGTGACATTTGCAAAGCAAAATTTATACGAAAATCGGATTTGAAGAGTCACAAATTTATACACTCGGATATTTATTTTTTCAAATGTAACACTTGCAAAGTAAAATTCAAACAAAAAAGCCATTTGAAGACTCATCTATCAACAGACTTAGATATTTATCCTTTCGAATGTGACACTTGCAAAGCAAAATTTAAACAAAAAGGAAATTTAAAGCATCACATTTTAACACACTCGGATATTCATTCTTTTGCAAGTGACATTTGCAAAGCAAAATTTATACGAAAATCGGATTTGAAGAGTCACAAATTTATACACTCGGATATTTATTTTTTCAAATGTAACACTTGCAAAGTAAAATTTAAACAGAAAAGCCATTTGAAGACTCACCTATCGACAGACTTAGATATTTATCCTTTCGAATGTGACACTTGCAAAGCAAAATTTAAACAAAAAGGAAATTTAAAGCATCACATTTTAACACACTCGGATATTCATTCTTTTGCATGTGACATTTGCAAAGCAAAATTTATACGAAAATCGGATTTGAAGAGTCACAAATTTATACACTCGGATATTTATTTTTTCAAATGTAACACTTGCAAAGTAAAATTCAAACAAAAAAGCCATTTGAAGACTCACCTATCGACAGACTTAGATATTTATCCTTTCGAATGTGACACTTGCAAAGCAAAATTTAAACAAAAAGGAAATTTAAAGCATCACATTTTAACACACTCGGATATTCATTCTTTTGCATGTGACATTTGCAAAGCAAAATTTATACGAAAATCGGATTTGAAGAGTCACAAATTTATACACTCGGATATTTATTTTTTCAAATGTAACACTTGCAAAGTAAAATTTAAACAGAAAAGCCATTTGAAGACTCACCTATCGACAGACTTAGATATTTATCCTTTCGAATGTGACACTTGCAAAGCAAAATTTAAACAAAAAGGAAATTTAAAGCATCACATTTTAACACACTTGGATATTTATTCTTTTGCATGTGACATTTGCAAAGCAAAATTTATACGAAAATCGGATTTGAAGAGTCACAAATTTATACACTCGGATATTTATTTTTTCAAATGTAACACTTGCAAAGTAAAATTCAAACAAAAAAGCCATTTGAAGACTCACCTATCAACAGACTTAGATATTTATCCTTTTGAATGTGACACTTGCAAAGCAAAATTTAAACAAAAAGGAAATTTAAAGCATCACATTTTAACACACTCGGATATTCATTCTTATGCATGTGACATTTGCAAAGCAAAATTTATACGAAAATCGGATTTGAAGAGTCACAAATTTATACACTCGGATATTTATCCTTTCAAATGTAACACTTGCAAAATAAAATTTAAACAAAAAAGCCATTTGAAGACTCACCTATCGACAGACTTAGATATTTATCCTTTCGAATGTGACACTTGCAAAGCAAAATTTAAACAAAAAGGAAATTTAAAGCATCACATTTTAACACACTCGGATATTCATTCTTTTGCATGTGACATTTGCAAAGCAAAATTTATACGAAAATCGGATTTGAAGAGTCACAAATTTATACACTCGGATATTTATTTTTTCAAATGTAACACTTGCAAAGTAAAATTTAAACAAAAAAGCCATTTGAAGACTCACCTATCGACAGACTTAGATATTTATCCTTTCGAATGTGACACTTGCAAAGCAAAATTTAAACAAAAAGGAAATTTAAAGCATCACATTTTAACACACTCGGATATTCATTCTTTTGCATGTGACATTTGCAAAGCAAAATTTATACGAAAATCGGATTTGAAGAGTCACAAATTTATACACTCGGATAATTATTTTTTCAAATGTAACACTTGCAAAGTAAAATTTAAACAAAAAAGCCATTTGAAGACTCACCTATCGACAGACTTAGATAATTATCCTTTCGAATGTGACACTTGCAAAGCAAAATTTAAACAAAAAGGAAATTTAAAGCATCACATTTTAACACACTTGGATATTTATTCTTTTGCATGTGACATTTGCAAAGCAAAATTTATACGAAAATCGGATTTGAAGAGTCACAAATTTATACACTCGGATATTTATTTTTTCAAATGTAACACTTGCAAAGTAAAATTCAAACAAAAAAGCCATTTGAAGACTCACCTATCAACAGACTTAGATATTTATCCTTTCGAATGTGACCCTTGCAAAGCAAAATTTAAACAAAAAGAAAATTTAAAGCATCACATTTTAACACACTTGGATATTCATTCTTTTGCATGTGACATTTGCAAAGCAAAATTTATACGAAAATCGGATTTGAAGAGTCACAAATTTATACACTCGGATATTTATCCTTTCAAATGTAACACTTGCAAAGTAAAATTTAAACAAAAAAGCCATTTGAAGACTCACCTATCGACAGACTTAGATATTTATCCTTTTGAATGTGACACTTG